TGACATGGTGCATATTCCGTTGATTCCAGCCATGTTTGATTATGAGGGCAGCTACAACAATTCACACAAGTCAACACCACGATACAAAACTGGGAGCTGTGATACTGCCATCCACCTCTTGCAATGAGACACCCCATCGCCCTTCTGAAATTCAGCCGCTTAAACACTCAAAAACACTTCATGAAACAATACATCTAACTTATGCTCCGTGTGTGGAATATGTATGAACCATGTATCAATGTACATAAAAATCACCGTTTTTTCTCGGGAAAACCGACCAAAAAACGAAGTCCAAGGAGCTGCTCTTCCGGCCAAAGGATTCTAAGGTGCCAACCACCATGATGTAAATGCTGAAGCCGGCCTCAGCAAAAAACTGAGGAAACATCTGGGAAGTCTATGGAATGTGGTAAGCTGCTATTATGACTTTAATAAAGCTGTTTGGTTGGTGAGTCATCATCTTTAAATATGGTTATATAAATCAGGTTAATTCAGCTTGGATCACAATCTTTCTTGATGAAACATATGTTGGCCGCGGCGCCACTGTGGCGGTATAGCCATGCCGCGGCGAGGAGCGCGACAAGCTACAGCCGAAGGTCCACAAAACGCAGACCAAGATGTAGGCCTTGGGGCCCGCGCTTGGTCAATGGGGACCCCAAATGGATGTGTCTGAAAATGTTGTGTACCCCTAAACCCAATGGTTTTGCTGATCATTATCCCTATTAAATGGCTATAATTGGGAATATACCCTATTTTCAGACAAACCCAAATTGGTCAGCATCGCCTGGAAAACCTACCATACTTCGAGGATGTTCATAGATGTTCAGCTAGGGATTTCTGAGATTTCTGAGTGCCACGTTTGATGATCGGAGACTAAGCATCGCAAATAAGTGGGACTTACCAACAATTTTCAGGGGATACTTCTAGAGGAAATGACAATGGATATCATGGTGGTGCACCCAAGGACAGCAAAATTGTCTTGTTTTGCTAGCATTTCACAATTTTTCATAGTTGGGTTTGCGGTATACATAATATATGTATATATATATCATTATATATATATATTAAAAAAACAGTTTTTCTTTGAAACAAAAAACTACATAGAAACCGGACTAGTTCCGGAGGTTCATGAACGAACAAACCTATCTGGGAGGCACCATCTTGTGCCCAAAACATCCAAAAAAAACCAATGGGATTTGTCGGTGACTTAACCAGCAGAAGCAACAAATTAAAATGAAGGATCAACTACCAGATACTACCCTCTGGTAAAAAATCATAGACCCTGAAAATAGCCTATTTTGAATGGAAACTAGTCTTCCAACCCCTATCTGCCAGGGTCTATGTTAATTTACCAGAGGGTACCAGCAAACACGGGGGAATTAGTAACTACCGCTCCAAAACATGACCGTCACAAACATCAAAATATAATTTACGGTTGTGCCGGGTTTCCTTGGCTTGACGGGAACTTGGTCAAACACCCACGTTCGTTTTCATCGCCCTGGATGGATCATGAAAGCCATGAGCCCAGGGACCGCAATCTCGAGAGCTTTGGATGGCCAATCGATCAATTGGAAGAGTTCCTAGGTGTCACCAAGGAATGTCTTGGCCTCAAATCTGGCTTAAAGATCTGAAAGGAAGTCTTCTCACCTGATCCTGGTTCTATCTTGGTCTTAGAGTCTTTGTAAATTTGTAAACTAACATAGCTATTGAAAATGGCCATTTATAGTGGATTTACCCATTAAAAATAGTGATTGTCCATAGCTATGTTGGTTTACCAGAGGGTAGAGTCTTTGTAAACCAGCAAGCAAAAAAAAACGGTGGCCACCACTGGACCACCAAAGTGGCTCACCCACAGTGCCCATAGCATTTTTCAGCCCAGATGCTAAGGTGATGAAACCCACCATTCCTGCCACGGTCCAATGAGTCCCAGGGACTCATTGAAGCAGCCCCCCCAAAACGGATCAAAACGAATAACGATTAGATCAAAGAAAACAAACACAACAAACAACAACAAACACACACACAACACACAACACACACAACACACAACACACACATATATATATATATATGTGTAAATATGTATGTATGTATAGATTTATATATATATATATACATTCCATGGAAATGACAGATTCTAGGTCAGGGACTATATAGGGGACCATCCCATATAGCCTTTCGGGGAAAAAACAAATCCCACGGAGCCTCCAAAGACGGTGCCCATGACACGGCCCATGCCGGTACTTATGGACGAGCCCTGGAGATCCGAAAAGATGAAGCTCGCTGCCTTGGCCGTTGGGCAACGGCACTGGATTTCAGAAAAAATGGCATGTGAATGGCATGTGAATGGCATGTGAATGGCATGTGAATGGGAATGTAAGGTGTTCAAAAATGATGATTTAACATGATTTAACATGATTTAAGTCATAAAAGAGTATTACTAAGAGAAATTTGACGGGAAAATAATGGGATGTTAAGCATAAAATTGGGACTAAAAAATATATAGGATGTTCATGGGATTGCACCAACCAAAACAAGGATTTCACCATTTAACCATCAGAAATGGGACTTACCCCAAGGATCTGCCATACAAAAACCTCGTGGAAAAGCCCACTGGGGTTTTCCGCGTTCAAAATGATGATCTACCAATGGTGGGTTATCCACACAAGCTACGGTTTTTATGGTAAACATCAATGGTGAATTCATAGGCCTACATAACCTCACAGTTCCAAACCATTCCAAACCAACAAAACTATAACATACTATAACTATCTCCTGGAGCAGCAACCACCTTGACGTTGCCAGCATTTGGGGCACGTTGCAATGAAGGCCCAAATGAACTCAGGACGTTTCGCCCGCCATTCAGGGATCCATGCGCCGATGCTCAGCCTGAAATGCTTGGAGTAACCCTTGGAACCCTTGGAAAACATGGGAAACATGATGAACACATGTGAAAAATGATGGTTTGATAGTTAACCTCATGATAGATATTTGGTTAACTATAGTACAACATAGTACAACTTGGGTTTATGTTATATCGAACTAGTTCATGGGCTTTATATGACCCACTTACAACTGCGGGGCACTACATTGTCAATTGTACCAAATCTGAGTCCGCGTAAAATCCCCCAAGCCTGTTCAGAACATGTATCAATGGCTCATTTCAGGTCCCTAAACTGATAACTGGAGGTACTGTACCATATATAAATCCGTAGTTTGGAATTCACATAGCCCCTACAGACCTTATATCTTATATATGGTAGCTCGAATTTAGATTTAAAATTCCCGAAATGGCCACTAATGTGCCACTGATCTGGATAATTTAGGGTACATAGTACATCTCGAAGATTCGAAGCAAGGTTAAAGCTGTTTTGTTTGATGCTTCTCTCATGTTCTCTCAGTCAATATCATAAAAATACAAGCTGTCTGAAGTTACAATGACATGACCAATCTTATGAGTACCATGTGGAACAAACATAGGCGGCTAACTGTGCGTTGTATTCCCGCATTTTTTGAGAGAATCCTGAGAGAAGATGATAGACAAAGAGTTTATCAATCCAAGAAGAAACGGTTTAATTTTCTATCCAAATGTTTGTTTTCTCCTAAACAAACGAGCAGCAAATCAGTTTCCCCTTATCAGTCATGACCCTTTTAATTCGATAGTAAGTTGGGGTCCCAGATCAGAACTTAGGAAACCACCAAATAATTAGATGCCGCTTTCCTACCGTGATCTTCGGGTTCAATGTGCTCCTTGTCTCCGTTTATTTCGGATAGAATCATCCCGGGCTTCGAAGAGCCCGCAACATATCTATTAATATCCATGTAATGTGAGTAAAGCAATGTAAAGCACTAGCGTTTCCCATCCCCAATAATTCTTCCAACATCGTTATTATATTATGGTGGGTATTTCCCATCCCCATGTTCTTATCTTATCATATTTTATCATTTATATAATTATGGCTGGCATATTTGTTTAATAGTATGGCATTGTTTACAGCAAAAACAAAGTATAAATATACATAGACATATATACATATGCATGTATAAATAAAATAAAAATAAAATAACATGACATTACATCACATCACATTACATACATTCATACATACTTACATTACATCGCATCACATCATATTACATTACATACATTCATACATACATACTTACATACCATTACATTACGTTACATTACATCACATCACATTACGTGACATCACATCACATCACATTACATAACATTACATTACAACACATCACATTACGTTACGTTACATCACATCGCATATGTACATATATATATATATATTGCTTAAAAAAAAAAAAAAAACGAAAAAACATGTATAGAAACACCATGGTTTCTATGGCTGGTGATGGGCTTCTCCGATCTTCTCCAAGTCACAGGCCCAAAGAAATGACCTTCTTCAAGGCATCTTGGCTCCTCGCCCTGGCGCTGAGGGATGACCACCAGGTGAAATTCCAGGTGATTTACCAAACCAAGGGCTCGAAAAAACGCTGGGAATCTCCCATGGGAAACATACAAAACATAGCAAAAACCATGGAAAATCACCATTTTCAGCTGGGGAAATCCACTATTTCTATGGTGATTTCCAATGGAAATCTTCAATGGAAATCTCCAATGGATAAACAGATCGTTGATCCACTTTAAAACTTTATGACCCCGGGTTAATTAATCGATCATGCTTATTTCCCAATTCAACAGCCGTTTGGGCTTTATTAATCCAGGCAAGAGTGACGCAAACTACTGGTGAAGCGAAAGCGTCGCCACATCGCCGTCTACAACCCATGTTTTGCCGACCAAAAGCTGGGTTAAGGCGTTGTGTTGTCGCCATGAAACTTGGGGAACAAACTTAGCATCAAACATCATCAAACCGTTGATGGTGATAGAAGCAATCAGAATTCAATAAGCCATCAATGCATGTCCGGTACCTCCCCACATGACCAACCTGATGGCCATTAAGCGTCTTGATTCTCACGACATTTGTCTTGTTTTGTGAAAAGTTAACGGTTACAGCTTACCAAAAAATCCCATGGTTTATCATCATGCTCTGAAGTTACCCTCTGGCAATCCCCTATAAATGGAGGTTTTTAGCTGGGAAAATCATCCTGAATGACCGGAGGACAACACTAAACCCCATGGGAATCCGGCCCGAAACCAGCCTGAAAACCAACAAATTGATGCCCGAATTTCAGGCATTGGGGCTCCAAAATTAGGACATGGTTTCTTATGAGGCAAGGGATGACAGGCCATTGGATTTTGGTGGGTTTCCCATGTTCAAACAAGGAATCTGGATGAATTATGTCTTCCCATTACCCTCCGGTGTCATCAAACGTAGCAATGCCATTTAGTTTGATGATGAAATCCCGAACTAGAAATCTCAATTTTGTTCGGGGATTTTCCCGCTAGCCACGTTTCATTCCAAGAGGGTATACCACCCCTCATTGATGGTTTTTTGGTCACAGATATTTTGATCATATGATGTCATATGGTGGCCTCTTAAAATTGATCCCCAAGTCACCATAGGTCTCCAAACTAAAATCTGGTTGGTGGTTTCAACCCTCTGAAAAATATGAAAGTCAATGGGAAGGATCATCCCATATATTATGGAAAATCACCCAGTTATCAGCCAATCTGGTTGGTGGTGCAATGTGCCCATCTTGAAAAAAATGATGGAGTTCGTCAATGCGAAGGATTATTCCATGTGTTTTTTTTTAATGGAAAATAAAACATGTTTGAAACATTTTGAAACCACCAACCAGATTTCTGGTCGAATTTTGAGTCGATCTTTGGTGAATTCCTGAGACCTGCCTGCAGGGCAGCTGGAACCAGCTCAGGCACTTCCAAGGCATTCCAAGGCCACCAGCTGTTTTCCTGGCTGCGGGGCAAAGTTTATCGATATTGCTATAAGTCTACTATAAGCCTTATCATGTTTTATTGCCAGTGTTGTTATATGTTACTATGATTATCATTAATCATGTATGATAAGGAGTCAGTAGAGGAGGTTCAAATGACTCTTCCGGATTTTTAGGCCTATGATTCCTGCGTTCTGAGAGCCTGGGTCCAAAAGTATCCCCAAGTCCAATGCTATTTACAAGAGTGAGCAAGACTGGCACATTGCCCACCAATCTCACTTTCCATTGCAAACCAAAAAAACTTACCAAAGGATAAATCCATATAAATCCCATATACCCTCTGGTTATTTAACAGTTCAGTTCGCCATGGAAAATCACCATGCTATTCATAGGTAAACCACCTATAATTATTATATATGGGCCATCTATACCATGGCTATGTTAGTCATAACCAGAGTATATATATATATACCATAATTCACTATATACCATAATCCACTATATACTATATACCATAATCCCATATAAATCCCATATAAATCCCATATAAATCCCATATAAATCCTATAGTTGGTGAGTTCCATCCCATGATACCCCGCCATCCCATGACATCGCCGCGGCCTGGGCTTGTGTAGCATCGCATCTTGCGCTTGGCTCACCTGACATTGAAACATCCGGGAGTTGTTCATTGAAAACCCATGAAAACCCATGAAAAACCCCATGTGTTTACCACTGTTTACCGGTATTTCGTTCGAAGATGAGTTGTGGCTTTTCTGTTGGGGTTGGAAGGAGAAATCCATGTGCTGATTGAGTGATACCAGGCAGACATATGTAGAAATGTTTTTTTTTCCAGGAATCACGACTCAAAACCAGCAGCCGTTTGCCTTTCATGTTGTCTCTACCATACGAATCAACCGACATGTGGAGATAAGGACCTCTATGCTCATTGCATCATTCCTCTTGTGCATTCCATCGACCTGTTCTGTCTACTTGGGGTGCATCCCACCTGTTCTGTCTACTTGGGGTGCATCCCATCTATAGCTAGCAGGTTATCACCAGTTATCACCAGTTATCACCAGTTATCACCCACAAACAACTGGTGTGTACCCTTTTATATCTTTTATTGGGGTTGATTACATTAGTTACTATAACATACTATAACTATCTATCTGGAAGTAACTATCTATCTGGAAGTAACTATCATATTATACTATAACTATCTATAACTGAGATACACCTTCAAGTATACCTGGAAGTTTGGCTGAGCGGCCGTCACAGAAATGAGCTCGTTGATGGCAAAGTAGCAAGCCATGCCTAGAAAATGTGCGCGACCAAAACTCAGTTTTGCCCAGAATCTAACATGAAACACTCCCACTTTTTGGTTCCCATTTCTATGTTCCAACATATTCCTTAAAAAAACGTCCATGCCATACCCAGCTTCTTAACCATGCCATGGTTCCATGGCTTCTTGGGGATGGGATCCGAGTGACGGTTGACGTGCGCCAAGTGGTGGTTCAGTTGCTGCTCCGACTCGACAAACTGCGATCCTCGGTGGTTGGTAACCGTTATAAACCTGCCATGGAGAAAAGCTATAGTTGGGAAAGCTATGGGAAAAGTGAGCATTCTTGAACTTGGACATTGGATTTGAAGGATTGGGATGGATTGGGTATTTTGAATGGACTTGAAGTCATCAAAATGGGTTTCCAACACATTATGATGTAGTTGTTTACCTATTAGCAGAGCATGGCAATTAACAGAACATGGCCAGTCGGGGTAGGAATGCTTTATGGCAGTAAGGATGCGTTCTTTCATACGCATAGCCAGTGGTGGGGCGGGGTTCATTCAAAACCCTATGTTTGTCTTGTAAAACCATCCCAGGCATTTTGGGCACCCGAAGTCTGGTTAAAGGGTTACCTCCAGTAAACGTTTACTTAGCCATGAAATTCCATGGTCCATGGCTTTCCCTCAATTTTCACTATCTATAACGTTAGTTTAAAGACCGGAAACCAGCCAAGTCCAAGCGTCCAGTATGGTACATGATCTCACTTCTTGCTTTGAAGATCTCACGGTCCAACCTCTTCTGTGTCTCCTGCCCAGGATCTCTCCCGTTTTTCTGGGAAAGTGACTGGAAAAAGAAAGTCAAGTAGAGAATTGGAGGAAACTGGGTATGCAACATTCAAAACCCTTTATTTATGCGTCTTTCTGTCAGTTGAGCTTGCTACGAGCTTCCAGCTTCCAGTGGAATCTCAGTCGTTGTTTTTATGTCAGTCTTAACTTCAGGCTTCATCCCATATCAGGGATCTCCAGGACACTTGAAAATGCACTGCCAGAACTTGATAGAACCCTGAGAAATTACTTATAAACATCGAATGTGTAGTGAGACTAAATGGCATTCAAGAACAAAACCCAACTACTTGGCTCCGCATTTTCGACATGAACATAACGTCAATCTTTGGTTCACAACGAAGGTCGGTTTTTTACATGTCATCTAGATTGCTGGTTTTCATGACTATCTTCATGAATATGTTCCATGTTTTTTTTTGCCAAACAAAATTGGTTGGTGGTGCAATAACCATCTCCAAAAAAATATGAGTTCGTCAATGGGAAGGATTATTCCGATTATTCCCATATGTATCCATATGTTATGGAAAAATAAACATGTTCCAAACCACCAACCAGATAATATGTCATAATATTTCCCATAGGATTAGGATATTTCATCATATTTCCCATGTCATAATAATCATAAAATTTCCCATCGAACATGTTCCAAACCGCCAACCAGATAATATGTCATAATATTTCCATATATTTCCCATAGAAATCCATAGAACATGTTCCAAACCACCAAGCAGCAAAAACATCAAGGGATTTTCCCCCAGTTTTCCCCGGACCCCCAGACGAACTTCGCCCGCCTTCAGGTGCTCCAAGACATCCTCTGAGATCCGCGATCCGCTTCCACTGAGTTCCTACCCGAGCTGTGCCAGATCTATAGGTGGAACTGACGTTTTTCTGCTCCTTTCAAAGGGCATACTGTTATAGTTATACAGTTATACAAATTATATAAGTAAACAAAAACATTAATAAGTACTGTATATATGCATATCATATATGTGTATATTATTGTATACTTTATAATATCTATCAATTGATGTGAATCAAAAGCGTTGACGAACTATGAATAGCAATCCCTGGAAAGAGATAGAACAGTGGGAAGCCTGAAATATATGGACATATGAAATAAACATCGATAAGCATCCTCTATAAAATGCTGGAAACACTTTTCGGCATCGTTTAGGGGGTTGCTGTATCTCAACATTGAATCATCATATACTTATCATCTTATCTCAAAATACCTTTAAAATAATAGTGAAAAAAAGACATCGATTTGCATTAGATTTACCATCTGGTTATTTAACATAGCCATGGAAAATCCCTTATAAATGGAGGTTTTAATGGGAAAACCATCTATAAATGGGCCATCTATACCATGGCTATGTTAAATAACCAGAGGGCAGATTTACATATCGTCTACTCATCGTCTACGGGAAACGACACGACACGACACGATCGGGATTCGGAGATGCTTCCGAGCGGCGGGTTCGAATGTCGGACAGCCGACCATATGAACCATATGGATTAGCAAAACCACAAGCAAAACCCAGCAAAAGCTTACAAAGTGGGGCCCCCTAGATAGCTAAGTTGATTTATAACTCCAATAACAATGGTTTATGGTACGAGTACCTATAACTATAGTTAATGGGGTTTATAAACCATCTTATAACTGGGGGGGCCCACATTGTATATGTTAAAGCCTTTTGCTTATAAATCTTCTAAAACCAACAGGTTTTTGCGTTAAAAGGTGGAAGAGCAGGTCCATGTTCAAACCGATCAGATTTTTCCATGGATTTTTCCATTGATTTTTCGGGTCAATGCAATTCGTAGATCCAAGGTAAACCATGGTAAACCCCATTGATTCCCATCATTGTTTGTCATATCAGTTATATCACCATCTAATACCCTCCAGTTATTTAACATAGCTATGGAAAGATGGCCAAAAAGATGATTTGTGATGAAAAAAAACTTGAGAATTGTGGTCTTTTCCATAGCTATGTATATTAAATTACGCATAATATAATCATATACTTAAACTATATCTAGTTGGTGGTATACCTACCCCTCTGAAAAATCATGGAGTTCGTCAGTTGGGATGATGACATTCCATTCCCAATATGATGGGAAAGTCATAAAATTATATAAAATTCCATGGTTCGGAACCACCAACCAGTTAAGTCATTGGTTAATTTATAGTTGATTTACCTATTACCCTCTGGTAAACTAACATAATTATGGAAAATCACAATTTTTACTGGGTAAAGCAACTACAAATGGCCATTTTCAATAGCTATGTTAGTTTACCGGAGTGTAAAAATTGTGATTTTCCAATCAGTTTTTGATATGACATATCCCCATTGGTTGGGAAGATTCCATGGAAATCCTGGGTTTATCCCCTGGAAATGTCTCGAACCGAGTTGCAGCTGCCACGAGATCGTCCACCACCTGGGTTGGAAAATCATGAAATGACAGCTAAATGCATAATGATAGATTGATAATATAACAGCAATGATAGGTTGATAACAATGATAGATTGATAACAATGAAAAGCAACAATGCACAATGAAAATAATGTTATAACAATAGCAATGATAGATTCATAATCATAATCGCATTCAAAGCCGCTTCTTGCTAAAATGTGATGACATGTTTCTTCCAATGGTCTCGGCACGATTTCATTAACTTACAAAACCCGGTCTCAGTGCATGGTTTGCTGCGACCTTCAACCTTTCCAGGAGGTGCATGACGTAACGTTTCAAGGTTCAATCTCAAAAGATGAATCACTCTATAACTTTCACCGCTGCGGGCTGTAGCGCAAAGAGGACAACCAAGAATGAACAATGACATCAAGAGGACGGTCCAGCTCCTACACAAATCAAGATTTGTCAATGTAAACAACCGTCTCATGATCAGTACAAGTCAATTTTCAAGTAGCCTAGCATCATCAGTATGTGCGCAACACCAATCGAACGTTATTGCCCGCCACCCCCCACCTATTCAACGACCTAGCACCACCCACAGTACCCAGAGCACGGCTTTGGCAACTAATTACCCATCCAGCTGGCCCAGTTAGATACCATATATGTGATTCGATGTCCATTATACAGTTGGATCTACTCCTAGGTGCTTAAACCATGTCTTTTCTGGGTTGATTTTTGTTTTCCTTTGGTAAACCAGATAAATCACCAGATCCGTTCTTGGCCAGGATTTACCACTCAATCCATCATATCAAAGGTTTAGCACCGTACCACCATGATATCAGCCAATCTCAATGGATTGGTTTAAGGGAAAATCTACAGGAAACCATGGTTTTTACCATCAAATATAGGGCTTTCCTGTAAATTTTCCCATCATCCAATTCTATGACAATCTGGTTGGTGGTGCGATAACCATCTTGAAACATATGAAAGTCAATAGGAAGGACTATTCCATGAATCTAAGGAAAATAAAACATGTTTGAAACCACCAACCAGCAATAATCCAATGGTTCTTAAGATTAAATCACCATTGTGGGTTGCTGCACAGTGCCAATTTTTCGTGGCCGAAATCAGTTCAAGACGTCCTCAAGACGTGGTAAACCCTGGCCATAAACCGAGCACTGGGGAGATTTACCACCCACTGATCTGGATAGAAGATTGCTGACGGGGTTGATTTATAATGTTTCACTAACCTGAATTAAGGCCCTTTGGGGGTGATACTCTCTGGTTATTTAACATAGCCATGGAAGCCATGGCCCATTTATAGATGGTTTACCTATTAAAAATGGTGATTTTCCATGGCTATGTTAAATAACCAGAGGGTACTTCTTATTAACCATGATTTCCAGTGAGGTCGCAGTGAGGTCGTGACTAAATTTACCCTGATTTATGTAAATATTAGGGATGGTTTATGGCATTGGGTTTTCGACAGTATACCAATCAAATTCCCATGAAGTCGCTTCATCATTGTTAATGATGGTTCATTCCCACTAAACCCATATATCAATATAGGGGTTTACCCCATTGATAATCGTTAGTTAATTTTAGCCACACATTTGTTTTCGGATAACAAGTTATTTATAAGCCTCTACTATGTGGGATGGTTTGATGGTTGTAAGCAGTTTTCCATTTTGTTGGGGGTAGTTGTTTCTACGTAGGTATAACTTTGATATTCACATTGATAGTTAGTTAACCCTGGGGTATTATGTCGTAAATTTCATGGTTTATACAGTTTATACCATCCATTTGTGATACACCTGGGGCTGGTTTATGATTGCTTTGCTAGCATTGGAATAGATGGTAAATATAGATAGGTGAACCATCATTAACCATCATTGACCATTTGTTATCCATTAACGATCGGGCAACTATATGCATGCAACCACCATTAACCATGTTTATCCATTAACGATAGGGTAAATGAGATGTAGATATAATATAATTATGTGGGTAAAACAATAATAAACCACCCATTTGGGAGTGGTCTATGCCACCTACAAAAATGGTAAAATTGGGGATGGTTTATTTATTAGTGTTTTACCAACATTACTGGTAAAATAAATGTTACCCTCTGGTAATTTAACATAACTATTGAAAATCACCATTTTTAATGGGAAAATCCACTATAACTGGCCATTTTCAATAATTAGCTATGTTAGTTTACCAGAGGGTAACATGATCATCCCCTCCCCCAGCAATCCCCGAAGCAAACTTCTGCCCGAGCCGCTGAAGCCACGCCCTTCATGCTGCCACGCCAGGCATCCTCCGTGCTCTGCCGAAACTTGATCTCGGCGGCACGGTGCGGCACGGGGTTCAGGGCTTTCTGTTTTGAAAAAACCGATGGGAAAAGATGAGGTTTTTTTATTTATAACCCATAGTGTATGGTATATATGCCAACATTTGGGGTATATTGATGGTAAATGTTACCATATATATATATATACCATACATGGATCCTATGGGTAATGGTTGATACGCAGTTTACTAGTCTTTGGGATTTCTGCAAGTTTATACAAAGTTTACGATTGTATGACAATGATTGACATACTTTGACTCTTTGACCAGATAAACGTGTCGTGTTCATTGAGTTTGTGGAAGGGTAAATTTACAGGAACCCATGTCTTCCTTGTAACATTTACCTTGAACAAGTCTGGAACCCAGTTTTCCTAAATTTTGGATGATTGACCCCATGCTTTGTCTGTCAAACGGTCAAACCCTCCACATTGCTGCAAGAGTCAATGGGTTCCAGGATGGCTTCAATCCATTGGAGCAATCAGCAGCAACCATGGATTTTGGGGATGTGAATCTCATGAAACCTCGACCTTGTGACCGACCTATCGATCGATGTGGGTGTATGACAATTGTGACAAGTCTCCACTGAAATCCCAAGTTGTCCTTCAGGTCAACTATGGGATACTGGATACTATATATCATGTAAAGACACAAAACGACACAAACTGAGATAAACAGAGTAAACATGAAGCTGCAAACATCACCTGCATCTAAACTTGAGCCGATCGGCGATCCGATCGGCGTGGGTCCCAACCCTGAGAAGCCACGGGTGATTCTGGGCACCTCTCCTGACACCCTGATCCTTTTCGCATGGCACACATGCTATGGCCAGGACACATGCGACAGTGTCATGAGCCCCTGAGTCACAGAACTCGTCGTCAGCTGAATGCGCCTCACAAGTGGCATTCCATCCAAAGTTTCCATGTTATTCCACGTTTTTCCTGCAAGCTGTGCCTTGATTGAACCTCTGGCACCAGTATCACTAGCTCACTGGTCAACACTAACATCACCAACCCTTCCCATAGTGGCACTGGCGCCCTGCTGGGTCCCTTGGGGCCGGGGCCTCAAGGCAGAGAGCTGGGCATCGAAGAATTTGATGGTCATGTTGAGGCGACTCCAGGCATCTTTATCGCACACCAGCCTTGGCCACTTGGACTTGCAGCATGTGATGCTGTAGAACATGAATTCATTGAACTGGGTCTGTCTGAAAACCAAGGGGAGAAAAAAAACAACATAATATACTGCTTTAGCATAATTTTCCCGATTGAAATGCAATTTTTGTGGTACCTAGACCCTCCAAGTGCCCTTTAAAATCGTTTTTTACCCCATAATCTCATAGCACATTTATAGTACATTGACATTTGTGTAGGGTAGTTGCAATGTGAGGCCCCCAAGATAGCGTTCAGTTGGCGCACATAACTCCAATAACTATGGGTTATGGTATTTATAACTATAGTTACTGGGGCTTATAAACCAACAAACATAACTGGGGGGCCCCACATCGTGGGGGGTAAAGGTAAACATAACTGGCTTATAAACCCCACATTTTCAGTAAATGTATAATACATAGTATTTATAGTACAATTTATAGTATACCCCATCTTCTCCACGCCCACATTTGATCATTGCAACCTACTCCTCCGAGTCGCTCCAGTGCTGCCGGACCCCTGAGAGCGCTCCGGCGGCTGAGGGGGATGTGCCAACCTGGGGGTGATAGAATTTATTGTAGCCGTTGGGTGAAAACATACCCTTTGGTAATCAAAAATAGCAATGCATAATCACATATAATCACTTATAAATAGAGGTTTGAATGAGACAATTTGAGACAATCATCTATGACTGGGAGATGTTCCATGGTCACGTTTGATTGCCGGGAGGTAGCCGTTGGGTGCATATATCTACAGTAATGCAACGTAGAAGTTACTAAAAGAGACCAGTTCTTCTGTGGTTCCTTTGTGTCTTCCCTATCACTATCTAATTCAAACATCTTTTGGGAGGTTCAACCACTTTTCAACCACCATTTCAAGCGATGTGTCGCCCCCCTCCCCAAAAAACGTTGCTTGTCCCTGTGGACTTCCCTAATTTTAGCCGTTGAAACATGGCCAGCTGGAAAATCCCAGTTGTCTTCCAGCAAGCCATGTTTGATTACTACTGGGTAATATCCCGATCAACCCCCATGAACTCCCATTAAGCTGGTGTACAAACTCCATTACAACTGATTAACTATAATATGATATATATATATGATTTATTTAATTATATTTATTCATTTATTGGTTATGTAGTATTCATTTATTTATGAATGAATATATCTCATGTCATATCAAATCATATATTTATATACATGATATTATATGTGCGTATCTATCTACCATAAGTTCGAAATTACCAGGTACCACCCATCCCCGCAGAACCAAACTGCGCCCGGCTGCAGCAAACTCTTCATTTTCAGTTGGTTATCCCTGAAGGTCTCGAGCCTCGGATGGGGGTTTCCATGGTCATGGGGTATCAAAAAAGGGTTGGTTTATAATCAATGGAACATGCCATGAACATTGATGATTTGGGGGACGCCCTATTTCAGGAAACCACCATATTTGATATTTAAGTGTTACTTGTATTGAATACTTGGGATCACTTGGGATCGCATGTCATGCAACCATGCAACAGCTGCAACATCGTATAGGTTGGGATGTTTTTGGGATCACTGAAAGTAAATCTCGAAACTTGTCCAGATCGAAGGTCACTAATTCTGAGGTTGTTTGAGATCAGAAAAAATCTTTGATGCGGCTCGGTGCATGGGATCATCTGTTGCCGTGATAGCTATACCTTAAACCCAACGGCCATGGAACATCCCCTGGGCCAAAACAGAGAGAGACGGGGGTTGCTATGGATTTCCGATTGCCATCTGTGTGACTCAGGACGTCAATCTTTAACATGCCATCTTGCATACCCTCCCACCAAAGAAAACATCCTCCTGGTTAGTTTGCCCTGCATAGCATATTCAGTTTCTCAACTCAACCAAGGCCCACCGAAACAGGGGTGGATAGACATGGTCCCAGCGTAAACATCACCTAACCATTGGGGGTATGATCTCACAACAACCATTTGGAGATGGTATCAAAAATCGCCCGTAGAGGTGATGTTCTTGTCCTTTTTAATGCAGTATAACGCCCCGCTGGTAGATTTCCCTTGAAAACTATCCTGGCGGTGTCCCTAGGAAATGGGACATTGACCAACTCCTAAATGGCTATTCTTTGAAAATATATGTGCCAACAAACTGGTTGGTGGTGCAATAACCATCTTGAAAAATATGAAAGTCAATGGGAAGGATTATCCCATATATTATGGAAACTAAAAGCCATGTTTGAAACCACCAACAAATATAGAATTTGGGCGTGTCCCATCCAAATGGTAGTGTACAGGTACTGTAGTTGCCCCAAAAACATGTCGAGTTATTCAATCGTTTACCCAAGTTTACCATATTTCACCCTAAACAATAAATGCCCTCCGGTAGTTTAACATAGCTATTGAAAATGGACCATTTCTAGCTGATTTACCCATTAAACATGGTGATTTTCCGTAGTTATCTTGTTAGATTACCAGAGTGTAAACCATATTTAAAAAAAAGGTGCCATGCCACTCTCCATCCACCATTTCTTCCCAGCTGCAAATGCGCTGCCGCTGCGTGATGGGTCTTGGACTTGGCAAAAAAGGCCGTGAATTGCTCCACCAAAATCTGGCAATGGGGGCGGAGGTAGCAAAGTCTGACCACCAAAATGCCAATTTTACGTGGGAAAATAGGGTGATTTGACATAGCTATGGAACATGGATTTAAATGGAAGATTTGTAGATGATTTAGCTGTTGAGGGTAAGCAGGTAAACTACAGGATTTAGGCATATCCAATGTTCAATCAAACCATCCTATTCTTCGTTTCACAGGATACAATCCCGATGAGTTTCCTGTTCAATCCCGAAGTTGATGTTCGCTAAGACTTGCTACAAATGAGTATGATTAATTGATTGAATTAAGTATGTAACAACAAAATGTAACAATTATTTTCGATCATACAATTTCATAGATTTTCCTAGTCTTCCAAAAGCTCTTTGCATCTTTCTTGGGACAGGTCCTATCGACCAAAGGTTCCACTGAGAAAATAACCACTGGGACTCTTTCCAAACATTGATAGATGCGTATGTGATTGTGAGCATATACAGTGATATTATGTTATGTTGTTTGACGGTATGATACGATGTGATGCTTTTTCACATGCCACATTCTGATATGTTTCCCTGCCACACCCTTTTTTGTGCCCGAGAGTTTTGCTGCAAAACATGCCTTTGACATCCGTTGACGCATATTTTCATGTTTCCCATAGTTGTTTGTGTTTACAATTACAATATGTAAGCAAATGACACCAATGATGGATATCTAGACTTCCCAGTGATCTACAACATGAATATGGTATTCCCATTAAGTAAATGTGATATACAACACATTATACAGTGTACAATATTATAACAATAGATGTACACATTTTATCAAAATACTATGCCATTATAATAAAGTATTATCCAAGTATACATACATATTACCATCTGGTTATTTAACATAGCCATGGAAAATCCCTTATTCTAATCGGAGTCAGATGAAACACACAAAGTGCAATGGCAAATGCACGGACTCAATGCTGCAACGTTTCACCCATCCATCGGTCACAATGCGAAAAGGTAACAACGCTCTCAGGGCCCCTTAAGCCAAGCCACAAGGTGCAAACGGTATCAGCTGGTTGACATGGATTGCATGACATTTTCACTGGTGTTTTTCTTTTTTGCACCTTGGGGAAAAAGGTATTCCTCATATGGCTGGTTTTCTGGTGACTCGGTCAAAACGGCAAGTGGCATATTGAGCCATCGCCTGAAAGCTTCCAGAAGCTTGTCATCTGTCTTCGTCAAGCCGTCACCAAATTGAAAACGTGTTGGGACCCATCGAATTTCTTTACTCGAAATTGTTTCCTGAATTGCCCTGATGCTCACCAGGGTTCGCTTATCATTGAGTGATGGGTTCTCACTCATGATTGCATCAAACAACGACTTGGCATCTACAGCTTGGAGGGTGGCTAACCTACTACCTACTCGGTGAGCTGCTTGGTTATACATCAGTTCACTTATGAACAAATTCACATAGGCTAAGCGGTCAGCGCACTCATCAGCAGCGGTCGCCTCAGCAGCCAAAGTTGATCGGCAGACTCGCGGTGAACGAGCTGAGCGCCAATCCAGCAAAGTAAATGGTGCCATTGTGGTCTTGACGGATGGAGTCGTCAGGCCCACCAAAACTCCGATCTGGCTGCCAGACTTTCGCGCATTCGCCCAGCTGCTGTCACTATATCCCAGCACTACAGAATCACGGGTGAATGGTACATCCATGATGTTGATTCCATACTGCGGGGTCTCTTTGACATACTTGAGAGTGGCATGCAGCTGTTTCAAGTCTGTGATCTTTGCCTCTTCGCCATGGCCAGACAGGCTGACCGTCGCAGCAATCTCAGGTCGGGCCTGGGATGCGGCCCATTGCAAACATCCGCAAATGCTTCTCAGTTCCTTGCGCTCGTCCAATGAAAGCTCAGGCGAACCTTGCAATCGACCTTTGGCAATGGCGCCAAACTCGATGCCTTCCAGAAACTTCTTCAATGTGATGTGCAGATAGAAGCGCTGGTGCTCATTGCGCTTCAGGGTCAGTTCCTTTCCCTTGAAGGTTATTGGCTTATTTTCTTGGAAGTAATTCAGAGCTCCCCATTTGAACAAACCATGAACTGAACTAAGGTCATGGTCAGACCTACTTATGCCAAGGAAATCATCAACATAAACAATGATGGCAGCTATGATTTGGCCGTCCTTTCGCAGAAGGTACAGCTGCCTGTCGAAGTCATGTTGTGTGAAGCCCAGGCTCTGCAGTCGGCGGCAAACTTCTTTGCTCCAAGTGACTGGTGCATCTGCTAAGCCATACACGTTGCCACGAACTCGATAGAGTGGAGCTGACCAGTGCTGCGTCATAGAGATCAGTCCATCTTGAGGAGGTCGTAGAAAAAGTGGCATAGTGCGATCAGCATTTTGTCCTTGCAGAAAAGCCGTAGAGGCATCTCCAGTCCAAGCTATTCATGAAAGAGTGGTATCAAAGAGTTCGCAGTTCAAACCTGCGACAAGCATGGCATACATGATCTGCTCAGTGCAACGGCTTGGAGTTCCAGCATTGCGGTTCAAAGTTGCTAGGTCTGGATCAAGGTGTCCAAGCGCCACTATGCGACACTTCGGCTGAACTTCTCCAATGCCGCAGGCTTTGTCACGATAGCACGCTCGTGACGGCAGAATTCTTTTGGAAAGCAAGGGGTCCTTCAGAACCTTCTGAGCTTCTTCTGGTGAAAGAGGTTCTACTGAGTTCCATTCAAGCCATGAGTTGGCCTCTTTGGAGATCGCGGCCAAGAACTTGTCAACGTAGGCTGGAGGCATTGCTAAGATTGTCCTCCATGGAATCTCACGATCCAGTGCCTTCTGTTCTTGCCGAGAGAGGCCTTGCTTGTGAATTGCCATGTCTTGTGCTCTCTGTGTTTGTCTTTGATGCTTCATGCTTTGTATCTTGCTGTGTAGCTTCTGCTGCAGTGCCTGTTTGTTCTTGGCATCTTGTCTGTCAAGCTGCTTGTTGTATGTCTGCTTGCCGAATGCTTGTTGGTGAAGGGCTGGTTGTTCGTCGGGCTCTTGTTGCTGGCCCTCATGTGCTGTATTGTTGTCGTCGTCTGATTCATCTGCCGTGGTGTCTGATTCATCAGGTGATTTACCAGGGGCGTTGCGCAGGTCTTCACGGCGTTGGCTTGTGGCCCAATAGGCCTGTTGAAAAACCCTTGAGGCTGGTCCATAGCACGGCTGTGCGTGGACGTGGGTTGGATCACGGTGGATCACGCCTTGCTCATCTTGGACCAATGTTGTCATCATGGACTCAAAGTCCCGTTTTTGAGGTAGTGTTGGCAATGGTCCATCTCGCATTGGTTGTGGTGTTTCTGTTCTTAGTGGGGTGGACGTAGTAGTGATCGTCTGTTGTGGTTCTGGAGAAGGTCTATGTGTAGTTGATGTTGTAGGTGGTGTTACTTGTCGAGATTGTGGTAGTTGTAGTGGAGGTGTTGATCTCCCTGAGGAGACGCTGATGGCTTGATCATCTGCTGTGATCGGTGGTGTTTGTGGTATGAAGCCATCTGGTAGTGCTGAAGTAGGGTGTTCTGTTGCCTGCTGCCGTGTGTTGGATCCTGTTGCATTGGATCCTCTTGCCTGCGATGCCGGTGTGTGCTGATGCTCTGTGCTGCCAGGTTGTGCAGGTAGTTCTTGATATGGGTCTGCTAATGCATGCCGCTGGCTTGGTTGTGCATCAGGTGGGAAGTCCAAAGTGGCTTCCTGTGGTGAAACTGCCGTGGTGGGTGTTTGTTGAGGCGCCTGTGTTAGGCGTCTGCTTGTTGGTGTGCGGGAACGTCTTCGTGAGACTGGTGTTCCTGGCACATGTCCATATCGGTGAAACTGCTGTTGCTGGATGAGCTGGTTGGTGACTCGCTCTGGGCTGGTGTGCAGGTTGATGGTCGTGTTGTGTTGTTGTTGTTGATGGTGTGCTTGTATGCTGGTTTGTTGCATGGTTGTCGGCTGTAGATGTGGTATTTCAAGTTGTGGTTGTGGTGACATAGGTTGAATTGCTTGTGACTGTTGTGGTAGTGATGGCACTGTTAATGCCAAGGGCTCGTTCAGCTCGGCATTGATGTCGAGGTTGGCATTGGTGTCAATGGTGTCGTCATCGACCATCAGGTTGTCTGGTGGTGGTGGACCCTGCTCATCCCTCAAGAGATGGTCGCTGAACTTCTGAGAGGCATCACGAAGTGCTCAGATGTCAGCTTCTTCAGGGGTCCACTGCTCAAAACCAAATGCCGCACGCAGCTGCTCGGCGGTCACCAAAATTGAAGTCGCTCCAGTCTTCACCCAGGCTTGTTTTCCTGGATGACTTGGGTCCCAAGATAGGAACCTTGCAATCACCCAAGTGCCCCGCTTCTTCTGGCCTCTGCGGGCCCAGCGCCAGAAGGCGCAAGGTTGACCTGGCATCAGGTCTGGGATTTTGGTTGTCCTTGTCCTTCTCAGCAAGGCACGTCGAAGGTGTTGAGAAACATCAAGGTCTTAGATGATCTTGGCGGCCTCGGCTCTAACCACCTCAGCTCGAAGTCCAGCATCTGAATCCTGAAGCTGAGCAATCGGTGATGAAGAAGCCAAAACCATAGGATTGCTGAAGTTGCTGTCGATCAACCTTGGCTGCTTCCCAAAAACGGCCTGGTAGGCTGACCGTCCATGGGTGTGGATTCCTGAGTTGATGGCATGGCAGGCTGCCACGAGTGCAGTTGAGCACTGGTCCACCTGGTTGATGCCAAAGGTGTCTATCAGCTTTTCCAAAATGGTTCTCAGCAAACTGTTTCTCCGCTCAATCATGCCAATGACAAAGTGGCTCTCCGCAGGGCAAAACTCCAGTAAACATCCAAGTGCCTGAAGTCGCTCCTGGAAGTGACCACGGAAGGAGGGGTCAGGGTCTGTCATGACCTTCAAAGGGATGCCATAGGGTCGAAGCCAAAGTTGCTCAAAGGCTTCAAACACAGTGTTGGCGTGCCTGTCAGGAAGCACGAGGGCTTGATGAAACCCGGTGGCTTTGTCAGCAAAGCCCACAACCATAAACGTTGTGGCATCCAAGGTTCTGCAGTAGAAGATGTCACCCTGGACCTCATCATTGAACTGGCCGTTCAATAACTTCGGAGTTGTTGATGGTCTTGGTGCTTGAGGAGGTTTCAAACGCTGGCAAGTTGCGCATCTGAGCTTTCTTGCGCATTCATATACTTCATCTGGAACATGACCCTCATAGGCAAGGAGTCTGCAAAGCTCCTCGCGTGATGGATGTCCCATGTTGAGGTGCAAACGCGCCACTGAGGCCTTGATCTCCTGTCTGATCCCAGAAGTAAGGCCTGGGAAGTCAATGTCCGTGGGCAAGTTGGGAACCACGGTTGGTGTTGAAGTAGATGGTTGGCTGGATGGATCTACTCTTTCAAGGTCCAGCGGTCTTCGGTGTCCATAGGCAAACACCGCAAGTCTCACAGGTTTGTCAAAACGTTGCCGTGGAAAGCGGACTTGATCAAGATCCTCCACTTCCACCGCTCTGGTGTCGTCGTTGAAGCACAAGAATGAGGCTCTGGTGAAGTACTCATCCACATTGTTAGGGATTCTTCTGGTAGTTGGTGATGACACAACTTGGATGCGTATGGCATCGATGCGAAACAGACCTTGGATGGTCTGTCCCATGTCGCTCTTGGGGTCGATGTTGTAAGGTCTTTTCGCAGTTCTCTCGAAGCTCTTCTCCACATAGTCAACAACAGGGTCCCATTGAGAGAGATCCTCAGTTGGTTGTTGCACTGGTAGAGCTTCAAAAGGAGAACTGAGGCATACACAAAAGCGATGTGGTTGTCGCCGATGTAGTTCCTCATAGAGCGCTGCTAGAATGGTTCTGCAAAGCTCTTCTGGATATGCCTGAGAAGGTTTGGTCATAGATCCTTGAATGGGGACGCACATGTCCAGCTCTTCCTTGGTCATCGTGCGCTGGAGGGCCTGCTCAAGGCCAGGAAGGTTGCCCAGGAAGGTGAATGGTTTTCGTATTGGTTTGCCTTGGACCTGTGCATGAAAAGCTCCGGCTAGGCAAGTGGCTTTCCAAACACCTGGAAGGCGCCACCTGGAAGGCGCCCAAGGTCTTTGATCTCAGGCTGTTCCCAAAGTTCACTGTTTTGAGAGTTCTGAATCAAAAAGAAACGGTGTCCAGCATGCTGTTGTTTTGCAAGTGAGGCTGCCAACTTCAAAAGAGGATGTTGAAGTGATTGAGGCCACTCCCAGTCCTCCAGACGATGGCTGCAGTCCAGGCCCATCAAGATCAAAGCTGGTCTGAACTTGTGAAGGACTGCATGGGCTTCGGTCTGCAAAGAACGCTTCATCAAGTCTTGGCCATAGATTAAGTCCCATGGTTGAAGAGCATTCATGTAGTACTCATTGGCCAAGTAAGAACATTGTGCTTCACCTGCAAACAGCTCCCACAAATCTGCTTTGCGGATTCGATTCAGCCTGTCATGGGCCGCATGGTATACATCATGTTCTTTCTGCAACAGCTTTGAAGATCTTAGCCATTGACCTCGAAGCTGCTTCATAGTTCCTGTCTTCATGACCACACCTCCGGCTCCACGCTGTCCCAGTCGTAGATTGGGTCGTCCGGATTGGTCAACACGCCCAGCTCCATCAGGCGGGTCCAACGAGCTTCGTCGGCTGTCCTTTCCAAGGCCTCTCTGGCCTCTCTGAAGGTCTCCTCGTTGTGGAAGATGTGCTCCGCCATGGTGTTGTGAGGGCCATCCAAGGGACTGTCCTGATGGACAATCTGCCACACCTCGTAGTGCTGGTCCTCCGTCAAATGGTCCAAAGCCATCACCGTAGGGTCGAAGGTTGTCCAGCTCTCTGACTGCCTTGGCCTTATAGTTGGTGGAGAACGCCGCTCTGGTTGGGGACGAATCTTGGCCGTGGCTCGGGACTTGGACTTGGGTGCTCCCAACGAAGTGGCTATGGTTGCCGAACATGGTGGAGGCAATGGTTGCGAGCGCGAGGAAGACGCGCGCTGGCCATGTTGAACCCACAGTTCCTCTGTTGGATTCCACTTCCACTTGGTCTCGCAGGTCAGGCATTGTGCATACCGACCGTGTGGGTTGCCGTACCTTCGGCACTGAAGATGCTCGCATGTTGTTGTCGATGGTCGCACATGGATTTCCGGAGGAAACACCTGGAGTGCTGAGCGAGGCATGATGCCGAGGTTGACCAACTGCAAGATGGTGCGAAGCGCCATCATCATGAGGTTCTTGAGGCGGCTCACCACACGCTGCCATGAGACCAACCATGGAGGAGGTGCCTGGTGCATGTCGATCAAGTTGATCCGCAAAAGTCGCTTGAGAAGTCGCGGGCTCCATGCAAGACATAAACTCAGGATTTGGGTCGTGCCACATGGACTCATCTGCCAATGATTGCCAAACAGGATCATGTGCAGGTTGTTCATGAATGAAATCAAGGATGTTAATGACCATGTGACCGGCAAAACGCTGAACTTCAACTGAAACTCCTAAAACGTCAAACTCCATGCGATCATTCTTGAAGTGCAGGTGGGCCCCCAAACTTGTAAATAATGAATTGGATCCAAGGAAAGGAATGTCTTCTTCCAACAAAGCTGCTCCTAACAAAAACGATGTTCCAGAAATAGCTGATGGAAGATACACTCTTGTGGTTGAAGTTGATGGTGCGCCCTTTCCAAACTTGAAACTTTCACTGATGGGGATCCGAACTGCCTGAAGACCACGTTCGTGGAGTAGTTGCTCGTGGGCTGCAAACCAAGCCTTGCCACAGCAAGTTCTTTGACATCCAGAGTCCAAAACAATGAGGCCGGCAAAGGTCTCTGATCCAACAAACTTGACTTCATTGACCACATATGGGATACCAGGGGATGGAACCAAAACCATGTTGACGTCAAATGACTGGCCGTAGGAAGGGTTGTCATACACATCGACAACGCCATGCTCATGGTGGATGAAGTTGACACTGTGGGGCTTCTTGAAGGCTGGCTGCGGACCCTTTTTCTCGATCGGCTTTGGCGACGAAGAGGATCCTTTGCCCTTGTTCATCGGACATTCTTGGTCTTTGTACCAATGTCCACGAGCTCCACAAGCAGTGCAGTGAGTGACCTTCTTGGACTCCTCAGGAGTCAGTCTGGTCGAGCCACCTTTGCCCTTGGAGTTGCCCTTCTGCTTTGCAGTAAAGAACTTTCGACCAAGGGTCAAGTTGTTCAACTTCTTTGCCGTCACAGTCAAGACGGATGCCAGCTCTTGAAGGTCATTCGCGCCTTCACCGTCATCTTCAAATCCATCATCTTCTTCACAATCATCTTGATCGTCATTGGGCTCATTCTGATCATCTTCGAATTCTTCCTCAATGGTGTCGAGGAACTCATCATCTTCTTGTTGATCATCTCCAGCATCGTGAGCTGCAACGAAGGCTCTACGTGTTGGAGCTCCACGCACGCTCGAAACAGAGCTCTGCCGAGAGGAGGCAGTAGAGGAGGTCGATGAGGATGGCATACTGGATGATGAAGTGCTACCCATAGACTTGTTCTTGCCTTTTCCCTGACCATCTTTTCCACCAGAAATTGGAGGAGCGCCACGAAACTCTGGAAACTGCAATGTCAGTGCTTCAGCCACAGATTCAAACAGCAAAGACTGTGATGTTGCAACCAAAATCATACGCTGCTGCTCATGTGTCAAGCCACTGCGATCCAAGAGTCGTGAACCCATGCTCTCATTGTCATAGGCTGCCTCAATGTTGATGCCGACTGAACGCAAACTGCGCTGCACTCGGCGAAACCGATTCACAAAGGAGCGCATAGTCTCTCCTTGGTATCGTCGGATGTGCTCAAAGTCATTGAGGTAGCGACGTTTCTGATAGATGGCCTTCTGCTCCATTGGTGCCTTCAAGGCTTGCAGAATCACCTGAACACCATCGTCAGTGTAAATCTCACTGACAGGGGTGTGCTCAAGCTCTTGCTCAGCCTCGCCCTGCAACGCATTGTACAAGCTGAGTGCTGCCTCACGCTTGCTCAGGTAAGGTGCAACCTGTAGCATCCAGATTTCAACCTTCTTGCAGAACTTATTGTATGCACGCAAGTCTGTAGCATCATATTTCCACTGAGGCGGGGACGGTGCAGTGCCGCCGCGCCAACGGATGCCCTTAGAGGGGCCTTTTCTGTCATCCCAAGGCTCATCATTGTCATCCTTGTTCAAGACTTCCTTCAACTTCTTGATGGTGGAGTCGTCATCAGCAGATGATGAGATCTTGCGGGCATGCCGTTGATTGGTCACAGTCGTTGGTGATGTCCTTGCAACTCGGTCAACTGATCCATGGTGGTCAGAATGCCATGATGGGATCACAGACGGATCTTCCGTTGGAGTCTCTTCCTCGCCGCGCTCACTCCAAGCATCACCGCCCGGTCCAGGTCCAGAGTCTCCATGCTTTCGTCGTCGTCGTCGACGGTTGGCAGAGGTGGACGCTTGATGACCGTCAGGTGGAGGAGGAACATGGGAACCATATGGCATGTATGTCCAAACACCATCAGCTGTTTCACGTGTTGCAGGATTATTCGTCTGATAAAACTTGTTTGACCCACATTGATTGCAAACCCAACTGTTGCTCAACCAAGCATAAGCCGCTGAATCACAAACCAAGCAACGCCACTGAACAGAATTCGTTGGTGAATCTGACAAGGTATCGTCCTGGATCGAGTCATGTTCAACGTCGAAATGCCAAGGAGCATGATCTGACTGATCAACGACCAGGTCGCCGTTGTCGTCGAAGAACATGACAACGCAAGCTCCGGTGCCAGCTAATCGGAGTCAGATGAAACACACAAAGTGCAATGGCAAATGCACGGACTCAATGCTGCAATGTTTCACCCATCCATCGGTCACAATGCGAAAAGGTAACAACGCTCTCAGGGCCCCTTAAGCCAAGCCACAAGGTGCAAACGGTATCAGCTGGTTGACATGGATTGCATGACATTTTCACTTATAAATGTAGGTTTCTAGCTGGGAAAACCATCTGTAAATGGGCAATTTTCCATGGCTATGTTAAATAGCCAGAGGGTATATTGATTTATGGGAGCTATAGAAGTCATATAAGCCATACAAGTATGATACACATAACCAGAGGGTAAATGACTTTTGTGATTGTTAATGATAGATATCTACAATGACTACCAGCCTGGGGGTCCAGTTCATCCAGTTTATCCAGTTCCAGTGGACTTTCACATCACTGGAGGTGTTTTACATTATCCTATCCAATGGCATCCCAGAAATTACTGGATTCCAGTTAGCATACCCCATGATTTACCATGGTTATAGCAATAAACAAAATATATATAATAAGAACTATATCTGGTTGGTGGTTGACCTACCCCTCTGAAAAATACTAGTCAGTTGGGATGATCATTCCCAACATATGGAAAAATAAAAAATGTTCCAAACCACCAGCCAGATATATATACGTATATATATATATATATACATAACCATCAAGAACCACGCATCCACGCATCACAACCATCACTATTAGAATTACGAAATAACATTCATATAATAACCCATCAATAAGCATAGAATAGTAATGGATTAACCATCAACCATCAACCATCAATACCAATGACGTCCCCACCTGCCTGTCGCTGAGACAAAGCCTGGAAAGCCAAACGTTGGTGCAGCTCCTTGAGAGTCTCTGGGCGTTGATGGAACCGGATGGAACTGTAGATACTCCTCAAGTTGCTATCTCTACTTTTACAGTATATACTAGAGAATATCACCGTTATTAATGGGTAAATGAACCCATTAATTATAATGTAGATACGAATAGATGGAACCGAAGTGAAAGGGTCCGTTGACTCGAACATCCCGCGCCTTCGATGCCAGCCATGGTGGTAGTAACATGGCGATCACGGCACATACCACGCCTACAGTACCTGGGTTTCGCCATCTCAGCTTACATTTTCCATGGCAATGTCGTTCCTGAACAAAAAAATGTGGAGTCCAATTCTGATGTCTAAATGGTAAATCGCACTTTTTGGTCAGAGGGTAAGTTGAATTGGTTCCTTTACCTTCAACAAAATCTAGGCTCACGCAGCCATTTCATGTGGGCTCAGCTGAGCCTACTGAGCCTGAAGGACATAACATCTATCAATTTCACCCCAAGCATCCTGAGCAAATTCCAGAGAAAACTTAGCAACCCAGCTATCCACCAAGACACATGGAACGCCAATGGTCCATGGGAACCACCAGGGCTTGGCATGTTGCGACACCGACATGTTGATGGTGCCGCAAAGCATCACTCCCACGGACACGCGCTTCTGTACCAATGCCCAAGGACGGGAGCATAAGAAGAAGACCGTGGCCCTGACAGTCCGCATTCGAAAAAACTTAGAGGCAGCCTCCAGTGGACTCTAAGGTCCTTGGGTATATCATTAAGAATGAACCATAATTAATGGTTGATATAAACTGTAGCTACTATGGTTTATCATTATTGGTGGTTAATCATAGTCCTTGGGTATATCATTAATTATCTAACAATCTTTGGCTACAGTGTTACAGTACTTGTTCTAAAACAACCAATAATTGACCTATGATTATGTATAGATCCTCCGGTGTCATCAAGCGTGGCTTGTTAAAAAACCCACCATTCAGTTCGATGATGTTCTTATCACAACCTCCATAGGGCCTAGGGATCTTCCATTGGCACGTTGGAATGGAGGGTAACCCACGCACACACACACACCTAATATATAATCACACACATATATACATATAATATAATCATATATATATATGATATATATATATGTATATATGATATATATATATATATATGATATATATATAATCATATTATATATATAATATTATATATATGTGAATATATATATATATACATACATATAACTGGTGTATGATATGGTTACTAACCACTTCAGATTCCCCAGGATGCACTAATGTCTAAGTAGGGGTTTTGGAAGGATCTGAAGGTGGTGCAGCACGTGCCAACCAAAAATTGGGTTTTAACCAACCATTAATTGGTGAGTTTTCCCCATAATTAGGTAAGTGTGTATATAATTCCAATAACTATGGTTTATGGTAGATATATCTATAATTACTATTCCGGTTGGTGGTATACCTACCCCCCTGAAAAATATGAAAGTCAGATTGGATCATCATCCCAACTATTGGGGAAAATAAAAGCCATGTTCCAAACCACCAACTAGTTTAACCAACATGGAATAAGCACCGGAAACTCTCTTTCGGGAGATGAAAGGCCGGGGGCTGGAGGCTCGAAAAAGGCACCCAAGATGGACACGCCACTACTGGATATTTCTTATCACTTTCTTGGGCATGGAACTCAAAATTAAAAATCAAACGGTATACTTAGCATACTTAATTGAACTATTTTCATCAATATCACCACCAAAAAACATGTACCACATCAAGCAATGTAGAAATAAGCAGGGGATCATAACTTTTCCATGCCTTTATATCGCCGGACAATCACTTAGAACCTGTGGAAATTTTCCAAAACGCTCGGGTATGAAAATTTCTTCGCACTTAGAACCTCTGAGGTTCTAAGTGTGAGTTCTTTTTTATTTTCCGGAGGTTCTAAGTGCGAAGTCCCCCAACCATTTGCCTCATCCCCTATCATTCCTATAAACAGGGTAAACATATATAACATAATATGTGTTAATATGTTCAACATAGTTATGATCAGAAAACACACTGTAATGTGGAAGGAATCGCATTCTTTTCTGCTAGGCGGACAAGCTGTCAGTATTAAAAAAACCCTTGAAACGTCTTAGCTACCTAGACCTAGCCATTCCACTCAGATGCGGAAGATGCGGAATCCGATCTCAAAATAAACAAACAGGTTTGTGCTCCGATCTCAAAGGATAGTGGTCAAAGCTTGAGTTCATACATATATATATATAGTCAAAATATGTAGACGTTATATGATTGATCTTGATATTATTTAAAATCATGATGATTTTCAGAGGTTCTAAGTGCGAATCTCCCCAACTATTTACATGGTTATAAACATATGTAGATGTTAACTCATATCATTAAAGATACTCATGATTGTGAGAGGTTCTAAGTGCGAGTCTCCCCAACTACTTACATGGTTGTAAACATATGTAGATGTTAACTCATATCATTAAAGATACTCATGATTGTGAGAGGTTCTAAGTGCGAAGTCCCCCAACCATTTGCCTCATCCCCTATCATTCCTATAAACAGGGTAAACATATATAACATAATATGTGTTAATATGTTCAACATAGTTATGATCAGAAAACACACTGTAATGTGGAAGGAATCGCATTCTTTTCTGCTAGGCGGACAAGCTGTCAGTATTTAAAAAACCCTTGAAACGTCTTAGCTACCTAGACCTAGCCATTCCACTCAGATGCGGAAGATGCGGAATCCGATCTCAAAATAAACAAACAGGTTTGTGCTCCGATCTCAAAGGATAGTGGTCAAAGCTTGAGTTCATACATATATATATAGTCAAAATATGTAGACGTTATATAATTGATCTTGATATTTTTTAAAATCATGATGATTTTCAGAGGTTCTAAGTGCGAATCTCCCCAACTATTTACATGGCTGTAAACATATGTAGATGTTAACTCATATCATTAAAGATACTCATGATTGTGAGAGGTTCTAAGTGCGAATCTCCCCAACTATTTACATGGTTGTAAACATATGTAGATGTTAACTCATATCATTAAAGATACTCATGATTGTGAGAGGTTCTAAGTGCAAAGTCCCCCAACCATTTGCCTCATCCCCTATCATTCCTATAAACAGGGTAAACATATATAACATAATATGTTTTAATATGTTCAACATAGTTATGATCAGAAAACACACTATAATGTGGAAGGAATCGCATTCTTTTCTGCTAGGCGGACAAGCTGTCAGTATTTTAAAAACCCTTGAAACGTCCTAGCTACCTAGACCTAGCCATCCCACTCAGATGCGGAAGATGCGGAATCCGATCTCAAAATAAATAAACAGGTTTGTGCTCCGATCTCAAAGGATAGTGGTCAAAGCTTGAGTTCATACATATATATATATAGTCAAAATATGTAGACGTTATATGATTGATCTTGGTATTATTCAAAATCATGATGATTTTCAGAGGTTCTAAGTGCGAATCTCCCCAACTATTTACATGGTTATAAACATATGTAGATGTTAACTCATATCATTAAAGATACTCATGATTGTGAGAGGTTCTAAGTGCGGATCTCCCCAACTACTTACATGGTTGTAAACATATGTAGATGTTAACTCATACCATTAAAGATACTCATGATTGTGAGAGGTTCTAAGTGCGAATCTCCCCAACTATTTACATGGTTATAAACATATGTAGATGTTAACTCATATCATTCAAGATACTCATGATTGTGAGAGGTTCTAAGTGCGAATCTCCCCAACTATTTACATGGTTGTAAACATATGTAGATGTTAACTCATATCATTAAAGATACTCATGATTGTGAGAGGTTCTAAGTGCGAAGTCCCCCAACCATTTGCCTCATCCCCTATCATTCCTATAAACAGGGTAAACATATATAACATAATATGTTTTAATATGTTCAACATAGTTATGATCAGAAAACACACTATAATGTGGAAGGAATCGCATTCTTTTCTGCTAGGCGGACAAGCTGTCAGTATTTTAAAAACCCTTGAAACGTCCTAGCTACCTAGACCTAGCCATCCCACTCAGATGCGGAAGATGCGGAATACGATCTCAAAATAAATAAACAGGTTTGTGCTCCGATCTCAAAGGATAGTGGTCAAAGCTTGAGTTCATACATATATATATATAGTCAAAATATGTAGACGTTATATAATTGATCTTGATATTTTTTAAAATCATGATGATTTTCAGAGGTTCTAAGTGCGAGTTTCCCCAACTATTTACATGGTTATAAACATATGTAGATGATAACTCATATCATTAAAGATACTCATGATTGTGAGAGGTTCTAAGTGCGAAGTCCCCCAACCATTTGCCTCATCCCCTATCATTCCTATAAACAGGGTAAACATATATAACATAATATGTTTTAATATGTTCAACATAGTTGTGATCAGAAAACACACTATAATGCGGAAGGAATCGCATTCTTTTCTGCTAGGCGGACAAGCTGTCAGTATTTTAAAAACCCTTGAAACGTCTTAGCTACCTAGACCTAGCCATCCCACTCAGATGCGGAAGATGCGGAATCCGATCTCAAAATAAATAAACAGGTTTGTGCTCCGATCTCAAAGGATAGTGGTCAAAGCTTGAGTTCATACATATATATATATATATATAGTCAAAATATGTAGACGTTATATAATTGATCTCGATATTATTTAAAATCATGATGATTTTCAGAGGTTCTAAGTGCGAATCTCCCCAACTATTTACATGGTTATAAACATATGTAGATGTTAACTCATATCATTAAAGATACTCATGATTGTGAGAGGTTCTAAGTGCGAGTCTCCCCAACTATTTACATGGTTATAAACATATGTAGATGTTAACTCATATCATTAAAGATACTCATGACATAGGCAGAGGTTCTAAGTGCAAGGTTTTTTGGGTTCTAAGTGCGATTTGCTCGTGAGTCGATTTTTTTTGGAAATTTTCCAAAATTGGTTCTAAGTGATTGTCCGGCGATATAGGCTACCAAATTTGATCAAAAAAATGGTGTTTCCTAGAAAAAATGGGCTACCCATGGCTACCATTGCTGGTCCCTCGAAACACAAAATGACCAAGAACTTGGTTGATAAGTTGTGTCCCCTGCAATTTAGTAGTGAACTATAGTACCCTCTGGTAAATTAACATAGACCCTGGCAGATAGGGGTTGGAAGACTAGTTTCCATTAAAAATGGATGATTTTCAGGGTCTATGTTAATTTACTGGAGGGTAAACTCCCTCTTTTCTTTTGGTTATCATTATCTTAAGGGAGAAATAGCTACAACATACTAGAAAGATCTAGAAAGCAATATAAAACCAATCGCGAACCGGAAAAGAAACACACAATATATCAAGTACATCAAACTCAATTCAAACCGATTACCCTCTGGTAAACTAACATAACTATGGAAGATCACATTTTTTACTCGGTAAATCAATTATACATGGGTCATTTTCGCTATGTTAAATTACCACAGGCATCACCGTTCTCAGCCAAGTTGCAGGAAGGCCGCGCACATCAGCGCTTCGCGCAGTACGTTGGGCTGCACAGGCCTTAAGATCTCGTTCACGATCATACCTGGTCACCACTGGCTCTGAGGTCATGCACCATCTACAGCTATCCATGTGCCGACGGTGCCCGATGTTGGTCTATGGGAAAATGTCAGGAAAACAATGTATATATATATGCTTGAGTTGTTTGTATATAGTATAGTATATTATATATATGTGTAAGTGTGTGTGTGTAAGAGAAAGTGTGTGTAAGTGTGTGTAAGTGTGTGTAAGTGTGTGTAAGTGTGTGTAAGTGTGTGTAAGTGTGTCCATGTGCAAATATATCTGATACCACTTCTGTATGCCTATGCAATTAAATGTGTACTGATATATTGCACATATTCATATACATGTATACAGTATACATATAATAAAATAGTATATATTGCTTGTCTTATTCAATTTATTTGTCATATTTATCTAACATGAATATGTAATTGTGCATCTATTGCGCATATGTTTTTTCTAACCCCAAATGTGCTTTGTAGCTTTGTGTTTCTTTGAGGTAGGGAAATGCTGCGACAATCTATCTTGATGGAAGGAGATGGGAAATCAACGAAACTACGTCTAAATGATTTACCTTTTGGACGCTTGGCATTTCTGATGGCATTTTTTGAGGCTCCAGCTCCTTTCTGAAACTTGAGGAAAAAAACGGTGTCATCCCCAAACAAAATGACCCGTCTTAGATACCCTATGTTTTTGGGTGGTTAGGTTGGTGATTCTCCCCACTTACAGCAAATTGTGAGTCTACGGGCGGTATACGTACACCACCCAGCACAGATTGACCCAGAAACGTCCAAACTCGAAGGCGTTCTCTAACAGGTTCAACCCGATTCAACCCACCAGTTGTTGAAAGGTTGGAAATAATCCGATTTTACCCGATACATCACACTTGGAGGATCATCCCACGAAAAAAGTAACTGATTATTCTGATTCATGATTAGTGGGGTTACTATTGATGAGTAGGGTTACAACCAAGTTTTAACCCTACTAATAAGCCAATAAGCTACGGGAAACTCCCGTGACAGGGTTCACCACCTTCCGCGGGATGATCATGCCAAAATGCTTGAGAGGCATCCGATCACAGTCGCCTAGCGGCCGATGTTTTCAAAACGCCACGCCACTGGGAGTGATGGAGATGAACGTCAAATTGGACCAGCATCCGTTGATGAAGAACAACGATACCCTCTGGTAAATGAACAGTTTGACCCTGGCATTCATCGGGGTTGGAAGATGAGTTTCCATTGAAAACTGGTGATGTTCAGGGTCTATGTTGATTTACCAGGGGGTAGCATATCAAGATATGCTCCAAAACCACTAGGCGGCAAATTTATTGGGTCTATATTCGAATGTAGCCATTTTTTCTGGTGATATTCCCAATTTAACTTATTTGTAACTAGGTTCAAATCCCCAAAAACAGGTAAGGGGCCCAGCAACCTCTTACTCTAATATTCCAGAGCAGCCTTGAGCAATCCCTACATCCCATATATCCCATATATCCCAATAATTTCCATACCACTCACTGACAAACCTGAAATATCCTGAAACGAACATGACATATAATGCAACAACTCTTGGGGTGACTACAGGATCGTTTCCGTAATTATCCCCCCCCTCTCACACACAACAGAACACATCCTCCAATCAACACCCTCCAGTGTACTAAATAGCTCTGGTAACTGACCATGTTTAATAGGTAGACGATTGAACTAAAATTTAAATGGGCCATGTCCCAAAACAATGTGTTAGTCTTTACCAGGAAGTGGACAGTTAAACCCGCACTATCATATCAAGTTGGTTAGTTAATGTTAGTTATATCAATTTATGTCCCATTGTATGAGTTCCCATTTATATCCCATTATATATGTGAGTTATATCCCAAAGTCTACTGATGCCTGACTAAGTTACTTAAATCACATTAAGTCAAATTTAATCCCCATAACATAATTCCATCTACGTAGCTCCTGTGGTTGGGTCCCACTCAATTCGTAGCTCCCTTCTGGGGCTTAAGTTTTGACTCATTACCCATATATAATCCCTACATAACTATGGATTACCAATCATCATCAACCAATACCCCTTGTATGATGGAATTGTATGGAATTGTTATCTATAGTCTATATTTGAAAAATATTATAATGAGTTCCCCATTATCATCTATCTATCTATAATAACATTAATATAATTCCATTACCCGCTGGTAAACTAACTGTTTAACATAGCTATGGAAAATCACCATCTTCAATGGGTAAATCCAATATAAATCACCATGTTCAATAGCTATTTTGACATAACCAAAGGGTATATCCGATATTACCCCATTCTCAATCGATAACCATAGCTCCGACATGCTCACCGATACCATTTCCGACGGCCTGCCACATCTCCCAGGCATGATGGAGCGTGGCACCTGACGCCGTGTCACAGCTTTGTCAGGTGCAGTTCGACAAGTTCGATGTTTATCCCAAAAAATATACAAGGATGGGGTGTTAACATGGTGTTAACCAAAAAACAAAAGGATGTACGGTTGACGATGTTGACGCATGATGGCTAGGTTCGTTGATGTCACTAACGTGTCACTGTTGGGTTTATGGTAGCTATATCGAGTTCGTTGATGGGGTGTCTAAACCAACAAACATAACTGGGGGCACCACATTGTAACACTTGGTGGTTTGTTGATGCCCTGCTAAAATTGTTATGAGTTGACAACTGCTTTTATGGGATACATGTTTATAAACCATCTTATCCATGTATAGTCCTAGAACAATCCTAGAACCATTGAATAAATACCTAAAAGTCTTGCGAACACCCAGCAAGAAGGTGATCTGAGCAGAAAACCTAGCTGATCTGAGAAGGATCTAATGTTTTACATGATTTTACATGATTTTACCAGCAACATGTTAAACATAACCAGCTACAAGGCGGATTTAACATGATTTAACTACCAACGAAGATGTTTCTTCTCACCAGGAAAACTGTGTGAACACCAGAAACAACACATCTAAACCAACAGAATTACACGAATTTTATCAGCGAAATTGCGCCATGCAATCAGAAAAGAATATGGTGATGCAACATGATGTAACCATGAATCATGAGAGCTCGACGTGTGTTGTTTGACTTTGGTATGTCTCTCTCAAACTTAAAAAACTTCAACGCCCTCATGCCGCTCCGTTCGATGCCCCTTAAGGGCATCCCTATAAACAGTTTCAGTTAAAGCTGGTTTCAGTGGTTTTTCAACATTACTATTCAATATGGTTAAACCATGTTAAAGCTGGCATTTTGAATGGTTAAACAGAACTACTATGAACTAGTTATGACTACCCTCTGGGAAGCAGTCACATGGCTAGCCGGAAAAGCGTCCATTTATTGTTGATATTCCTATCTAGTAAACCTCCATTTAAAGGGAATAGTTTCACTTGCCATGTTTGATGACTACATATGACTACCGGAGGGCGATCAGTATTTTACAATCACTATTCTACGAGTATGATAGATTTCAGAACGAGTGCCAGCAGCATCCAGCGCTCTTTTCAAACAGTGGCGATCCCCGCGACGGTTGGGTTGAGGAAACCGCAGTTCTCGAGTTCGAAGTAGTCGCCATCCACAGCGGCAAACCCAGCGCCCTGGATCGTCTCCAGCGTTCTTCGGTCAAAATGACAACCTCAGCAGACCATGAAATATGAGGAGGAGATAGCAGAAGGACAGCTAAGTCATGCTAAGTCTATATCGTTCATCTCTCTCTCCCTCTCTCTCTCTCTCCCCACTTCATTTTCATCATCTTGGAAGTTTCCGTACAAACATATCAAACATCTGGGTGTATTTTTGCGTACATATCCAATCCAACATGTTATATACAAAGAAACTGCTCCCAAGCAGCCATCTGCTGCTTGAACATGTTCAGGAGTTGCAAGTCTCTGAGCAGTCGCAAAGAAGGGATTTGTCTCAGACAGGACGTGCTCTACAAATAGATAGTGCCCACCTGTGATCAAAACAGACACTGACGAAAAGTGGATTGAGAAATCATTCTAGTTGATCAAACCCGTCCCATATTATCGCATGGCATACATATATCTATATATATACACTAAATAAAATAAATATAATAAATTAATATACTTAAATGTAAAACACTGTAAATGTGTAATAGTAACATGAAGGGACAAATTATGACATCTTATACACTTCAGAAAATCCAAATCCTTGTCCTTGACTTAGTGGAGAAAACCCATGGAAACCGGGAATTGGAGCGCCGAGCAACCAGGCTTCAGTGTCCGCTGTATTTCGGCCAGGGCCTTTGAAGGATTCTTCACTGAACACAAGGTAAGGGTGCAAATCACCTCAGCTGATTTGCAGCGCCTCTGGTAAGCTAACATGGCTCATTTTCATAGGTATATCAACTATAAATCACCATTTTCATCAATGTTCAATAGCTATTTGCAGCTATTTTACATTTTTAGAGCGTACAAACACTACCTTCTGGTAATCAAACATGGTTTGCTGGAAAATTGCCCTTGCAAAGTTTGATGGTGTCCCCATTGAAATGCCCCATTTTGGAAAACTCCCCATTAAAACTTCCATATTATAGATGATCTTCCCATATTTTCCTGGTATGCTCCAGTCAAAAGAGCAGGCACTTCTTCAAACTCATCGTTTCAGATTGATGGTACACTGCTTGAATGGTTGAGCCACCCAACGATGTACCAAGCATATCCAAGGATCTGGAAGTCAACATTCGCAATCATCACACATAGATAGAAAACCCACAACAAAACTTGAAAGCACCAACAAGGACAGTTCTAAGATGACCAAAATCTGTGAAATACAATGTGGTAAGCCAAAAAAGTCCTAGCTCATGGGGAGAGTTTATGATTGGGCTTGCCACAGTGCTATAAGATAGGACTCATATCAATGGGAATTTCAGGATCCTAAAATGGAGGTACCTACCATATATAAGGCCTATATAAGGCCTATGTACTGTAAGGGGGTATACCCCCAAAATATGGCCTTATATATGGTACAGTACCTCCATTTTAGGATCCTGAATTTCCCATTGATCATAGGACATTAAGACTCCTCAAATGATGCTTTTCCATAGCCAGGTTTCAGCATCAGCCACTTGATCTCCAACAGGAAGTGACTCAGCAATCCCCCGGACCAGTCGAAGGGAGTTCTGACGCTCGGAATTCAAAATGCCCGCCTTCTGGGCATTGTCCAGTGCATATTGCTTCATGTATTCCTGAATCAGATGCTACATTTGGAAACTCATAGAAAACCCATGGAACAACAGATCCAAACATTACCTTTAAGTTTGGGATACCGGTCACAGAAGCTAAAGTAAGTACTGGAAGAAATGCCTTGGGTTTCACAGTTCCTTCATAAACAACTCCTGTGAATTCGCTGCGACTATCAGGTGGTGGTGCCGCGGTGTACCTATACCGCCCCCCCCCAAAAAAAAAGTAAAATCCAGCCCCAGAAAAAAGGAAAATAGGATATCAATGGATAACACATATAATAGGTATAATATGTTGTAACAAAATGTAAAACACTAAGAAAAACACAATGATTGATGCCATAATCCTTCTAAATCGAATCGCCAGGCATCATTAGGGTCCACTCCTATGATGTCCATGTTCTGCGGTGCTTCCCGGGAACCCAGGTACAATGCGTTGGGGAAGCTGCCGATACCAACCTCAAGGACCTGCACATGGTCCGTCACTGCACATGGCTTCTAGATATGATTCATTCTGCTGGCTGGTGAGTATACACCCCATATAGTTATATATATATGAATCATGCATTGCGTACCAGAAAATAGTATTAAACTTTTATATACGCCTATTTAAGGTTGACCCACTCCAAGTGATACTCTTCGCTGCCAATGATTCCAGGGATTGGTTTTAGGGAAAACCTAACAGGACACCCTTTTTTGGAGTTTACCACCATACCAAGCCGGGCGACTACCGGCCCGCTCTTTGGCAGAAGGCCAAACAAATCTTGAAAGAGTTTGCGTTTCTTCTTGGCAATGGCGCGTTCATAGTCGATCATGCCTCGCGCGGCAACAGAGAAACAAATCCTGAAGAATTTGTCACCAACAACATGCTACGAATAGACACCCCGAAACAAGATTTAGAAACAAACTGCATAGGAGATGCCAACCACAAGCGGGAAACCAAAACCTGCGAGTTAAGCTGAAGTCCAAAATACCAAAGGCCATCCCCTTTGCGAAGTCCGCATCCTGTCGACCACGCGAAAGTGGCAGTTCCTGTTTCACCTCCACCTCTGCCCAGGCGTTCGACAAACATCCCCAGCATCCACAGCCGACTCCGCGTAAAGCCACGCGCCGGGGCACCAGCGCAAGGTCCCAGGACAGAAGAAGGGCCAGTGACGCGACAAACGCTCGCAGCTGTTTTAATGATCTCATGATTGCCTTTTAAGGCGAACTGGGCTGACAATGTTTGCTGCTTTATGTCAAAGGTTAGTCTGGGTGTGTACTGCTGAAGCTTCCAAGCAAAGAGCTGTTGTTTGCTTCAAAGCTTCCGCAATGCACCTATACCGTGGCACGTTGCACTGATTGTCCCAAGCATCTCCCAAGCTGCAAGATATGAGTGAGGATTTAAACAAATATGTCAATTTTTGGTTCTGACCAACAGTGACCGGTCGCTATATAACTCAAACAAACTCGCCAGAGATGACGAGTGCTGAACAAGGATTGCGGATGAGCAGCGATGTTGTACATGTCTGCACGCTGAAAGAAAGCAAACATGAGGATTCAACATGATTTACTCAGCAAGAATGGGAATATATGATTTCAACACATTCGTGGGGACCTACATACATTTCTACACCCAGCAAGTGTTCCATAAATTTCCATATCATGATCACTCCTTCATCCACACTCCGCACCCCAAAAAATCCAACCCCACATGAGCGCCTAGGCTTGGGCCTGATACACAAGCCACGGCCAGAACCGGTGCGAAGACAGTGGCATTTTGCCATTCCGCTTTGTGGACCTCAGAGCTCGACGGAGTGACCGCTGGATCATGGTGGATCCCAAACGGCACCGGAAGACGTGGGATCTTGATACCCTCCACGTAGCCATGAAGAATTATGGATAGTTCAACCATGTTCAACCCATAATTTTAGTTTATGATGTTTATAGAAGGGTACTTGGAGGGTCTAGGTATTGAGATATGTTGAGATATGTTGAGATATGTTGAGATTGTTGGAGTGTCTCTGGAACTGCCGGATCTTCCGCTCACAAAAACCATGGCTATGTTTCCTACCCTCTCATCACACATAGTCCAGCAGAATTTCGCTACAAATAGCTGTCTTTTTATATGTGGAAAAATGGGAAGCTCCTCCATCAGCGGCTTTTCCATGGCCGAGTTTGATTATCGAAGGATTCCTACATGGAGGAGTTGGGCATCACCTCCAACATCACTGGCTTGGTTTCTCAGATAACCTACAGGAAACCATGCGTTTTTTTTGTTTTTTTTGGGGGGGGGTGGGGGGGGACAGCAATAATATAGGGGTTTCCTGCAGATTTTCCCAAGATCCAATTCAACTTCACGCCCGAACTCCATCGCTTCCCGTCCCAATCTTCCATGAACCTGCATCCTGGATGAAAAAGCCAAACTTCAAATTGATCTGGATACATAAATTCTCATACTTAACCTGAACAGTTCGGCCATTTTAGAGATGATTCCACCGTGATCCACTTGTGCCATCATTCCAGCGACGTGTCGCGACGTCGCGATGGTCGTTGCCATGCAACGACAAAGAATGCCCGTTAAATTCACATGATGTTCCCATTTATCCCATCATTTTCGTTGGTTAAGTCACCATTTTTCACGGTGAAATCCCTATTCAATCATCCAGAATTGATGATTTACCAATATTTCCCCACTCTTCACCGTGATTTCCGAGGCCAAAAATGCGCAAGACATCCCCAAACCTATTGCTTGAGGGTCGGGTCGACACCGTGTATTGATGTGTATTATTTTACATATGATTCCCACATACTCCCACTGCACCAGTTCAAGTGCAACCTAAGAAATGAACAATTCCCCGATGTTTGCGTCACATTACGCATGCTTCACCACCTTTCCATGTTCAATCACCAACTTCAATCAATTTCATGCAATCATTTTCCATTAACTGGGGTCAAGTCACCATCATTTCAAACCCTTATCACCAACCAACTCGTGTCAAATCTTGCATGGGTTCATCCCAAAAATCGCCATCAACTCATGTCAAAATCACCCATTTACCCTCCAGTAATCAAGCATCGCTAGGTCAGTTCCCCATAATCCCTTCCCCCTATTACCCCCCCCCAAATAATAAAAACTAGGGTCCGTCTCCAATTTTGGAAAAATTGAGGTTGGCCAATTTGATTTTTAATTGATGGCCTTTAGAAAACAATTTAAAAATCGAGCTACTATTTCAGGGTTTCACCCCCTTATAATAAAAACTAGTAAACTACGGGGTATTTTTTTATTAGGTTCCGTCTTTTAAGGTCGAACAAAAACAAGTATTTTATAATAAGGTTTAAATTTAAAGTAATTATTAGGGGAAAGCTTCGAAATCCAATTTGTGGCAATATTTTAATTAGATGTTAAAAGGAAATCTAATCGATTCTGAAATAGAAAAAACAATTTTCATATTAGGGTTTTAAATTTAGTATAAGGGGTAACCCTAATAATAAATGCCCCCAAATAATAAAAACTACCTGAGGTGTTTATTATTTGGGGGTGGGGTTAGTTTGTTTGGGGGACTCTTGATTCAGAAAAATGATGTTTCCAGGAAAGCTCCATTTGTAGATTTTCCATGATCTTACCTGGATTAAGAGACCCCAAACGATTCTTTAATTGGGAGGCTACCATTAAAAAAAGTATCATATTATGACTTTAAGTATCATATATATATATATAATTATATATATATATTGTAGAAACAGGGTACAAACCACAACGTACCACAAAATAAGTACAGATACTACCCTGCAGCATGCACTGTTTCTTGAGCCACAGCATACAACAAGTAGAGGTGAAAACAGTGGTATCTACACTAGGACTGTGCAACAACACCCCCCGTGCAGTGTAATTACCGCACAGGAGATGAAGCTGCAAATTAGGCTATGTACAGACTAGTAAGGGATGCCATTATGTTAGAACAATTTAGAAAACACAACAACAACAACCAAACCAGAACCCGTCCACGGCCTATCCTTTCTTCGTCCATTGTGTTCTCACCTCAGGTATGCAAGGATTGACGAACAAGTGCAGATGCGAATGCAATCCATTCAATCGGACTCCAAGTACATTGAAAGACGGATGCAGTGCAAGTCAATTCGGTTGGGTGCATTCAGCTTTATTTTAGGCTCGACTGGGCTTGTGGTCGAACATGCAAGGTGGAAAGAAAAGGTCTTGGCCCAATACTAGGCCAGCGTTTCCACGCGGCAACAAAAGTTCTTGTGGTCGCCCAGGAGATTGCCAAAGCAAAGCAATTTGAATTATGGCAAAAGCTGAATTCATGTTTTGGTGTGAACCCGCAGGGAAGCCTTTAGAAATGCTTCAAAGCTGCCTTAACTTCGCAAGGCAAGAGCTTCCGCTCTGCGGTGCATGCAACTACCAGCCGTGTGCTATGCAAGAAGGAATCATGGCAAGAATAAGATGAGTGCCAAATGCCTGCTTCAAATTATATGCATTCAAAGCATTAATGAAACTTTTTGTGAATTTGACTAGATTGGCAAAAATTCCGACTTAGCACACTTGTGTTGGAAATGATGGTGGAATCGCTCACCCACCTGTGCAAAATGAAGCTAGTCGCCTAACCGAATTAAATCCGAAAAGGCAACAGCTTCCGCTGTGCGACACCGTGCATTGAGAGGAAAATGCCCCGCCTCAGATGAAGATAAATCCACCAGGCGAGAGGTTCCCCTCCGCGGTGCCTCAGCGATAGCCCGACCAACGTCGATCCCGATATTGATGGCCTTGGTTTCGACGGCGCCACTCTTCCCACTCCTGGTCAGTCCACTGATTGTAGTAGTCATTCCATTCCTGCTGACTGTAGCCATGAGTGGGCCCCTGATGAGAACCATAGCCAGGACGCGAAGACCTGGTGACATCTGGGTTCTGCTGCTTCGTTGCAGGCAGGGGTCGGCTTCCGCCTTCCGTGTCCTTGGCCTCCGTGAGGGGGCGCAAGATGTCGTCGACATAGCTGAGAATGTCGGCATACACATCCTGCTTGGACAACGCAAGGGATTGGAACGTCGTGTTGGCGACGCTCAAGACCTCGAAACGCTCGGCCACCGGAATCAAGGCATAGGCGGCCGCGAACTGGTTGGCTCTGTAAAAGCGGTTCTTGTACCAGATGAGGACATGATCATCCACGATGATCGTCTTCATCTGTTCCTCCTCGTATGCGACCATGCACATACGCGCTTTGTACTGCCGAATCTTTCCAGTTCGGATCTCCTCTCGCGTGCGCTTGATGGAGGGAAGCACCACATTGCCCAAAACTGTAATCCAATGCATACACCGAGGTGTAAGGTCCTGGACCGCACAATTAAAGGCGTAATGGGCGTCCGTTCCCAGACGCTGTAGCAAGGTCAGTCCAGCTTTTCTCGCCTGTTTCATATATGAACGGGCGTGATTTTTGAGGACTGCCGCAGCAGATCTGATCTGCTTGGCACCTTGGGTGGTGCCTGCTACGTCGTCGTCGCCAAGAAGGTCCAACGTCAGCTCGAAGCCCAGCTTCTCCGCCAACTCTTCCAAGCGAAACACCTGGCACGCACGGCGCATGTCGGACATAGTCGCCAGCGACAAGCCGCATGCGAGGCACACCAACATCCCCTCAGGAAAGATCTTCCTGCACCGGGGGCATGTCAATTCTGGCATAGCCAACATTGAGACATACCGCCAGCGCGTGAGGTTCCCCTCCGCGGAAGGGTCAAATGCCTCCTGATCGAAGCGATCAGAACGGCGTTCCCGCGCGTTGTCAGGGGCGATGTCGAAGCCAGCAGCAGTTGCTGTCGGCTTGCGTGCCACACAAAGGAGATTGGTGAAGTTGAGCGGCCTTTGCTTGAACTTCGGGAGCAACTCATCGACGACAGGATATGGTGTCGGAACTTCCTTGTAAATGAGCGGACGTCGCAGAGTGATGACATCCTTCCACTGATCGTACTCATTCACGAACATGTTCTTCAACACCTCCAGGTCCGAAACCTCGTACCTTTCAAGTTCGTCGTAGTTGGGAGTGCCCTTCCGAGCCTCGTTCTCCTGCCAAGTGAGAGCGTTCTCGGAGGCCTTGTCCCGAAGGTACTTCTTCACGCCGTTGTAGCCATGGTTCGCCCAAAGGTATTGCGACTTCTCGCAATCGAATGCGTAGATGAGGCAATGATTGGGCACCCAGTCCTCAGTGATGAGTGCACCGGCCAAGGTTTCCACCAGGCGAAGACCATAGTGCAGAGCACAATCGGTGTCGATCGCGATGCACAGGGTCTGTTCGTTCTGACGCCTGGATCCTTGCCTTCGATTTCCCAAGGCGCATGGCGGGTCATATAAGCATGACCCTTGCATGAGGTGGCCCCTGGAAAAATCCCCGTGCAAATGATCTGCTGGAGGGAGTCCCATGAAGTGTAATGGTAAATAACCTTAAACTCTTCTGGGACCTCGGCTTCCGCCAGGTGAGGATAAATAGGAACCCTGGGGTAGAATCCCTTCTTCAAGTCCTCGACCGTGAACTGGTAGTCAAGCGAGATGATTTGCTTGACCAATGGAGCCGTTCCCACCTTGTCAATGAGCGACTGGTCATGGCCTTGACAGGCCTTCACGTGGGTGATGCGGTATGGCATGTCCATGGTTGTCAGTTCCCCGACAATTCCAGCCTGAATGCGGCACATGAACCGGTCCTGAGTTCGAAGAATCAGGTACAGGTCCTGTCGCGAAAGCTGAGCACGATGCCGCTTTCGGAGGTACGTGTACATGGACTCAAAGTTCACGTACAGTTCCTCATCAAATTCAGGAGGAATGTGGCGATGATGTGCCTCGAGGAATTTGTGATCATACCCACGGAGAAGCCCGGTCACCCTCTTTGAAAATTTGAAATCATCATGACTGAGTCTTCCAAGGTCCCTCAGGCCTGGCAGGTCGGTACATCGAACGATGAATTCCCTGCGCTCGCCCGTTCCCGGGGAGTAGAAGTACCACTTGGGATATCCCTGTGGTCGCAAGGGCGGTTCAGCCGGAGGCTGAGGTCCACCCGTTCC